TGTATACTAAAAATGTTTGCTATTAAAAAGTAAAACGGCATGCCATATATGTCGGAGTATACATACTTGTATATCATGTAAAAATATTTTGGTAAAATACTAATTAATTAGTTGCGCACGCATATAACCATAAAAACTCAACAATCGAGATAGTCTCGATAAAAAAGAGAAACAAAGTGGATTATTTTCTTGCATAGGAAATAACGATATATTCAAACATCATACTCGGCACCGGATATTTTTTCGTCCGTAATCCACCAAACTAAACTCGCGCAAGTCTCTTGTTTCAGATATATGTATCCTATTAGCAAACCTTGGAATATACCAAGAATTATTCCTGCTAAAATGTCAATTATATGATGTTTTCTCACTAGTAGTTTGGACATGCATACTGAAAAGGACCATGCTAACAAGAATGGTACACATATTAAGGGTATAGGCCATAAATTAAGGAAAAAATATGTGATAAATGCTGCGCGAGTCGAATGGCCGGATGGAAATGAGTCTTTTTCGGGAGCCAAACTGCCATTGATCGTAGGTCGTCTCCTTCTCGTTATTGCTTTTAGTGTAACAACTAGAATAATATCGAGCGTCAGACCTGAAATAATTTTCGTTCTTTAACATAATTTTTAAGAACAACAACGTGTCATTAGCTTCATTTTGAATATACCTATTAAAAGATTAACTTGCATCTGATATAAATTTGAGTTGTTAAAAACCCAGATTAACATGAGATTAGTTACCAGCCACGCTATGCTATGACACGATATCTAAAAGAAAGATACTTACTCATTATATGGGCGCCACTTCTAATTTTTTTCTACTTGAAAGTACAGCGATTCTTAATATAAAATGGTTTCACATGGGTTTTTAACTTTTCATGCAAGCCGTACAATGATAGACTATCTTGCATTGCAAGCACCAGGCGTGTTGTACTTCGCTTCAAGTGCAAGTTGGAAACCCATATAGAACCGTTTTAATATAATGAATTGTGTACGAAACTAGAACCATGACCTCAATCTCAACAACATGTGTTAAAGTCAAGGCCGTTGGAGCTAAACTTCAATTAAAAGTAGTGCCCATATAATAAGTATAAAAAAATAATAGTAAGTAGAAAAAAATACGTATATATATACGTATATATATATATATATATATTGTTTATACATTGTGTATATATATATATACATATTATATATATATATATATATATATATATATATACATATATTATATACATATATTATTTTTTATTTAATGAACAAAATTAATAATCTCACGTCTAGGGTTTTGTTATGTGCTTTAAGTCGTCTCAAAAGTGAAACTTGCTCTGCCCACTTAACAAATGCATTAGTTAAATAAGCGTCAACGGCTAAAAACTTTCTTAGCATTGATGGTATTTCTCTTTTCTCCTCCTTAAATGTAAAATAACATTTTAGTCTTATTACAAACTTGAAAAAAAAAAAAGATAATGCAGTTTCAATAAAAAAAGAAATTAATTAATTAAAAATATGTATAATACAAATATGTGAGACTATTGAATGCAATATAACAACGAATAAAGCAAACATAAGAATGAGAGGTTATAAGTGACGGATGTACCATTATTCCGTTACTTCCCAACTGGCCAGAAAAATTAACAGACGAACGTCCAAATGTTGCATCGTCACAAAATCATGCAATCTACTTGTTTTATATCTATCCTGATAAACAGTAATTGAAAAATTGCCATGCCAAACACGAAGTTAGAACTCAGGGTGCAAACTCATGCAGCGGAACGCAGAAAATCGCGGAACGAGAGCTTTGACCAATCACAAGCGTTCCGCTGCATGGGTTTGCACCCTTAGGGCCTAAGCAGAATGGCTGTCTTGGCAATGTTTTATGCCTTAGAGCCACCGCACAAGACTCTCGTATGGTCACGTAGCGTAACGTAACGTGAATCAACGCACAAGAAACGTATCGGTTAGAGCCTCCGCACAAGCTCTCGTATGGTAACGTAACGTAGATAAACGCACAAGAAACGTATAACGCCGTAACGGTCGTAACCAATACGTTTCTTGTGCGTTGATTCACGTTACGTTACGCTACGTGACCATACGAGAGTCTTGTGCGGTGGCTCTAAGTCTTTGTCTTATCTAACGCACAATATGTATGTACAGTATTGTGCGTTAAGCGGGGAGCACACACTTCTGCACAACGCATAATGCGTAAGCATAAAAAAATTGATTGGTCCATACACATGTGCATAAGGAAATAGACCAATCAGTTTTCTTATGCTTACGTATTATGCGTTATGCAGAAGTGTGTGCTCCCCGCTATACATAAGACAAAGACAAGGGATAAAACACTGCCGAGACAGCCATTCTACTTAGGCCCTTATGCTAAGACTCCATAGACGCGGAAACGCCGTGCGGCAGAGTGCGTTGACCAATCACAAATTTTGATTTTGCCGCAGGCGACTTGCGGCAGCCTTCTGATTGGTCAACGCATTCTACCGCACGGCGTTTCCGCGTCTATGGAGTCTTAGCATAATGCATTAGGGTGCGGTCACACAATACGGGAATCAGCATGCGGGACAGAGGATGCGTGATTCGAACAGCCAATTAGCGCTCTTCCGCATTTTTCTGTACCTTTCCCGTATGCGTTTGCGTTACTACCCTGGTAACATTGGATGCGTTCAGCCGATACTCCGCTAGCCTAGCAATCGTGAGCAGTCGCTCGTTTTCGCTCGTTTCCTCTCCTTTGACCCAATGGATTAAAAGGAGAGGAAACGAGCGACTGCTCACGATTGCTAGGCTAGCGGAGTATCGGCTGAACGCACCCATTTCCATTGCAATTCTGCTTTAACTGCTGTAAGACTGCACGAAAAGTCGTGCATTAACTTTCGGGCAGATCATGCGTTTTCTATTTCCAACTTTGACTATTTTTCTGTTGGCAGAAACTTGCGCTCGTCGTAGTGCAACAGAATTGTGGAAGATATGTGTATGCATTTACATATAACAGAATAGTGCAAGAAATGCGGCAGATGCTTGCGCAAATCGCAGTGCAACATAATCGCGCCAGATTTGTAGCATTGCCTACTGCTACCCATACAGCACAAAATATTTTTAAAATATTTTTTAGGAAGATTAATATAATTTACAAAAATATTTTTTATATTTATAGCACCGCAGTGGTGTTGGGTAAGCCTTACGTTGCATTGCTGGCGAAGATATTGTCGCGAATGTCATGATTTTGCTTCGCCGGAGGCCTGCTTCTGCTTATATTAGATCCCAACTGAAATTTACTTACGAGTTAGTTTTACCATTATGCGCCGCCTAGCGGCATCGTTGCAAACTAGCACATACAGCAGAATTCAACAAGAATTACGACAGATGCTTGCGTAAGAAGTAGAGCAGCAGAAATACACATGATTTTGGCAGAATATATACCGTACATCTGATTTATCAATCAAACATTTTTCGAAATTTGTAACGCCAAAATGGACCGTATAGGCGTATAGCCTACATCTTACAGCACAAAGCTATAACAGTTTCACAATCTCCAGTTAACTTACAGTAATTATTTCTATAAATATTTATATATAACATATATTAAAAACAACTTTAATAATATTGATGATAATTATTTACACTTTATTTCAAAATATTTATTATAATCTTTTAGATACTTTTATTTTCCGGACATTATAATATTTACAAAATATTCAACGTATATATTTTCAAAATATTTAAATCTTTTTTATAAACATTTTAAAAATATTTTATAAATATTTTGTGCTGTCTGGGAGTTTAGTGCGCTCGGCTGTTCTTTTTCTGACGGGCAGATGCTTGCACGCTTTTTTCGCATTTCTGTCACTCGGATCTGCACGGCAAAAACAACAATTTAAGCGACATTATACACTTGTAAAATTTTGCTAAATATGTTTCAAGCGTCTAGCACAGTCGACTGCTCTTTTTCTCACGGGCAGATGCTTGCACGTTCTTTTCACGTTTCTGCCGGTCGGATCTGTACTCAAAACTCTGCTGCAAAAAGCAGTCAAGTGTGCGTGAAGTGTCTAACGCGATTTGCTGTTATTTTTTTGTTGGGCAGATACTTCCATATTGTTTTCACATTTCTGCTGCATGTTTACTTTTAACAAATAGTATAAAATTTCACAGTAGCTTCTTACAGCAGACTACTACAATAGTACAGTAAGCACTCGTTAAACACAGATATTATGCACTTCTGTCGCAATTTTTGACTGCTTTCTTACGAACTTCTTCGGGACGTATCTGAACTGTCCAGGGTACTAAATCGTAACTTTAATATCTATCGAATGAAACAGAGCGCGAGTTATAAGCATTGTAAAAAGTATATGTACCTATGTCTAACATAGATTACAAATAATATTGCAGAGCATTATATGCATGAGAAGAAACGCAAAAAAATCTTATGATCATATACCATATCATCAAATTCCATGCCGTCGTCTTGTTCATCCTTTATCGCAAAATACCTCGTTTCGCCATCGGATTGCAATATCGATGATGGTTTTAAATGCCTATCTAACACAGCTAGGTCTTGGCGATCTATGAGTTCGTACACCTAGCTGGATAGGCCAATTCGACGGTAGACTTTCTCTACACCTGTGCATAATGTCTTTTATCATCAAGGATACCGCAGGCGGCAATGTCTCGAGGTCTTCTTTTCTCATACCTAGGATTAAAATATTGTTTTATATCTTTGGGAAAGGGATAATTTCCATAATACTCGATAACTTGCTGCAGCGTGAGCATACCCATCTCGTGATATAATATTATCCTATCCGTTGTGGGTTTCTCTAATTTCTTCAGTATCTCTTTGTCATGCATTTTTGTTTCCGCTTTCTTGAAGATCAATACGATTTCCAGCAGGTACAATTAATTTTATATATTTCTCCATTTCAATTACATCAACACGATTTTCATTTGCTATAAGCGCGATTAGATACACTATATTTCTCGTTCTTGGATTAACATGACGGGAATGCAGTTACATCTGCTCCATCTAACATGATATTTAACGTTTCAAATATGCCTGGTGGTTTCCGAGGCATGTAACTTGGAATTGCTATTTTCTGCAGGTCTGAATCATTGATTTGAGACTTCATGGACTTTTAGATACGACAACGAGGGTGAATCAAGGAAGTAATGATGAGCGTACATCTCGAATTTCAGATCTATATGCTTAATTGATACAATAACTACCCGAGCAACGGCAGATTTTCCGAGAGAGATATAACGCTGTTTAATTTCAATTCTTCGTACAATAGATGAAAAAAAAATAAAATTAGTGGAAAATGTGGAAACAGGACGGCTTGTACATACATTTATTTTTCCAACACGTTACTCGATTCTGCATTTTGAGACGTCGTGCGGAGAAAGTTTGATATATATCTTCTGACCCTTCAGCACATTTAAGGCAAAAGTTCGAGAATTTTTATATTCGTTCGAATTTAATATGTACAACCAATCATCCGTAGATCCACAATTGCTAGTCTTTTGCTTTTTGGGTAGCACCATAGGGCTGTCACGTTCTGTACACTGATCCTTTTCGTTGTTTCGCATCAGACGTAATTTTTCTACATCATATCCCAATAATGTGAATAGAACTATTAGAAAGAGATCCCATTCTTGCGCCGGCGAAAAGTGATCTTGTGGGCCTGGAGCATTTCTAGCGCCGTACCATTTAATCAGCAATTGCATCGCTAAATCTTTTTTAAGAACGCTTCGTAACGTATGTAAACATTTAGCGACTGTAAAAAAAAATGTTATCTAAACTAATTATAATATGTGTGTACAAATAACTAATTTAAATTATTTGCAATTCTTGTAATAAACTTATTAGTTATACTTATATATCAATAAAATCTTTTTCAGATTTCATGTACTTACCTAAAGGCGATGTACTGGAAACAGGTAACGTTATACGGAAATATTGCTTATTTCCGCATTCTACGGTTACCTCATTGCCTACAGTTTCTTTCAAACCGAGAAAGTTTGTGTCCGCAGTAATTAATTTTCCAACAGTATCGGCGGACGAGCACAATTACCACCTACGGGACTCAGTAGATGTAAAAGCTTCTTCGAATTTAATTTCGTGCGAGGCTGTGCAGCTCTGAGAAATCAAGGAACTTCGTCTCGGAAATGGAGATCCAAGCTTAGGATTACTATTTGACAAAAAGTAATTGTTGCCCGAAAAATTCGAAAGCATGCCAGAATGTGCAATTTGCCCACGCATGTAACTCCCGTGAATAACGCTATTACGTTTGACAAATCCACAATCGCTATCATGTGCAAATTCTGGAAGAAGCCAATAATTCTTTACGTAAGTTATTAAGTTATTTCAATTATCATATACATATCTTATGTTTTAAATAATTTCATGCTTTCTTTTGTATTTTAAATAAGATAAATAAGAAATATGCTAAATTATATAATGTTTTTTTGTAATAATTGTAATGTATGTGCATCAATATGTACTAACCGATAAACTGATGCATTCTTAGCCACAATGTTCGTTACCATCCCGAAAATGATCTGTTGTTGTTTGTTAGCCCAGTCAGAAATGTATTTTTTTTTTTTTTTTTGGTTTCTGCTCCTTTGGGAAGGAGCAAAGCGCCTTCAACCCTGCCTTTGGGTTATATAGCGCAAATAGTTAAGACCCTTATATGATTCTGCCCGTCCGCTTGATAAAATTAAAAATCACTCCTATTTTATTCCAATCTTCTCTCTTAATCAGATCAACGATATCCTCCGTTCCATGAATGTTCCGTTTCACCAGTTCCTCGCCCATAACCTCACGTTCTGCGTCATACCTGCTACACTGCCATATCACGTGATTTATATCTTCGATTTCATATCCGCATTCACATCTAGGGGAATCTATATAGTTTTTTCTAGCTAGGGACTCATTCAGGTTATAGTGATTTGCTCTTATTCGATTTATAAAAGAATAAAAATATCTCTCCGCTCTAACTTGTTTAAACCAAGGCTGTTTTATATTTTTGTTAAAGAAATTCCGGAAATAATCCTTTCCTTTATAGGAACTTTCCCTGATTAATACATCCTGAGTCGAATTCCAAGCTTCTTCTTTAAATATACATCTCAGATCACTTATCGGGATTGGAAAATTCGACATAGCCTCTTCCGATGCACCCTCCTTCGCTAGCAAATCCGCCATCTCATTACCTGTGTATCCTCGATGAGCAGGAATCCAGCCGTATATAATTGTACATCCATACTTATTTTTCAGCCTAAAATGACGTCTTCTGATATCTAAGATGAGACTACTCTTGTACACATCCAGCCTATTGTTTTTAATGGCTTTCAAAACACTCTGACAGTCCGATAAGATTAATACATTCTTGAAAAATCCTTTTCCTTGATCTTGATCCTTCTCCAATTTTTCCAATGCAGTAGATATTGCAAAAGCCTCCGCAGAGAACGACGACCACATCTTCGGAAGACTAGCATACAAAGCTTGACTGTTATCTTCAAAAATCACACTAGCTCCTGTCGCGACGGAATCCTCTGATTTTGATCCGTCTGTATAGATAACCATAGGATTTTCCAGATCATACTCATCACAAAACTCCTTGATAAAATCCAAATCCTTTTTTTCATATTTCATTTCTTCAAGACGTCTTCTTTCCTTGGTTTTCCTACCAGCGCTATGCGAAAAACCTATTTCAGTATCTATCGTTATATCCTCCGTGAGATCTTCATAATTCATGTCCCATACTTCAAAATTATTCAGTGACTGACCGATATCCTTTCTAAACAATTTGACTCTATCCCACGCTAATGAAATTATACTCTTTTTTTTCTGTGGGTGCCGCATCCTATGCAACATCTCCTTTTGACTCAAGATGTCTATACTTTCTCTAATACTCGGGTTACCATATTTAATAATCTTCGTGCAGAAATTCTTGGCTAACATCATAGCTCTTACGCTGAGAAGATCTACCTTGGCTTCCGCCACTAACACGTTCGTCGGGGTACTGTTCCTAGTTCCAAGCGCCGTCCTCAAACCCAGATATTGACCTCTCTCTAATTTCAGTCTTAGCGAGCCGGTAGTAGGTGCATAAACAAAACATCCATAGTCTGTTACAGATCTTACTAAGCTCTTATACAGCAAAAGAGCTGTATAGCAATCAGAACCTCTTGTTACACTATTCAAATACTTTAAGATAGAATTTGCCTTTTCTATTTTTGCTCTCACATCTTGAATATGCCCTTCAAATTTTACTTGGTTATCCACTCGAACTCCCAAGAATCTGGATTCGCTACTATTTGGTATTGTCACCCCTTTCACCATAATACTAATATTGTCATCTACGAAACCGCTCCTTGAATATTCCACCAGCGTTGTCTTCTTAGGCTCCAAATCCAGACCTAGTAGCTCCAAGTTTTTGGCTATTATATTTACTGCCTCTTCAATCTTATCTCTGTTTTGCTTTCTATCCGAACCCATCTTATATACCACTATATCATCCGCAAATTCTAACTCCATTACACCGGCATCAACATCCACGGTAATATCATCAGAGTTGAGAGCGTACAAGATTGGACTCAACACCGCTCCCTGGGGTAGACCTTTTCTTGATACTCTTCTGACCGTTGTTTTATTATCGATGATGTATTCCACGTCCCTTTCATCTAACCACACATTAATAAACCTGAATGCCCTACCAGGACAACCCTTTCTTCTTAATTTAGATTTCAGGATATGGAAATTCACATTATCGTATGCTGATGCCACATCAAGAAATGCCGCTAATACGTATTCTTCACTGAGAAGCGCAGTTTTTATATCTGAGGTAAGTTTCACCAGGTTCTCCGTGCATGATCTACCTCTTCGGAAGCCGTTTTGAAAAGGGTGAAGCTTATTTTCCCTCTCCGCCCACCAGATGATCCTCTCATTAACCAATCTCTCCATCACCTTACCCATGCAGGATGACAATGATATTGGTCTGACTTTATTTTTGTTAGCTTTGTCTATGAATAAGACTTGATACTCTCTCCACTCCTTTGGAAAACCTAATCCTATCCATATATCATTTAATAAACTCAACAAACATAACATAGCTTTTCTAGGGAGATTCTTAATCATTTTGTAATCTATACCATCCCTACCCGGTGACGAATCTTTTTTAATCATACTAAGGGCTCTACTTAATTCTACTTCTGTAAATAACGCATCTAACTCTTTATCTGTCCTATCATATGTATCATCTTCTATTACTCTCCTTGAAACTCCCGGAGCCGAGAGCTTATCTATTTCTACTTTAATAAGCTTTTCTCTATCCCCCATCTGCCATTTATTCCAACTTACTCTATTTCTAGCTTTTTTAAAAGTCCTCATTGTGTTCCAAACGTAAGATACACTAGTGAATCTACTAATACTATTACAGAAACATTTGAAACTTTCTCTCTTCTTTTTCTTTATTACTTTCCTAGTAACAGCTGCCTGTTTTTTATATTCAATGAATGCATGAAGAGTCTGAAGCTTCCTATATATCGCCAATTTTTTTTTACGTAAGTCTATAGCTTTGGAACACTCTATATCCCACCATCTCACCTGTTGCTTATTTTTCTTTTCCTTAACTTTCTGCAGACTAGATGACCTTACATAATTAGCTTTCCTGTCTGAAGCCATATTAACTGCCTGTTTCATTTGGTTTGTAAACATAGTGTATCTATCTTGTAAAGTTCTACCGTACATACTACTTTCTAATACCTCAATAGCTTTATCCATTATATTCCGATATTTTACCCAATCTGTTTTTTTGGACGACAACCTATTTGTAATTTTTTTATAAACTATCGTAACTATATCTATGTTTATTCTAATTGGGAAATGATCGGACTCCCAAGTATCCTCTAGTTGCTCGTAATTAATGTAATCAATCATATTGCCATCCGCAAAAATTAAATCTAAGTTAGACGCAATCTGATTTCTATAATTTAATCTGGATAGGGTATCTTGATTAACGCTCAAGAACCCCTGGTTAAAGAACTTTTCATGTAGATTTTCCCCATTTACATCCGTATCATTGCAGTTCCATAGCACATTATGAGCATTAAAGTCCCCCAGAACTATTGTTCCATAACCTTTCTTATCGAAATTAAGTATATTAGACCAAACCTTACTTTCTTCTTTACCATTTGGTCTCCTATAGACTGTAACAAGGTTAAATTTTATCTGTGTGTTATTTAATCTGATACCACATATATCAAAATTGTCCGATTCTATAAACCACTCTTTAATGACTTCAAATTCTATTTTTTTGTTTATTGCAACGATAATGCCTCCACTATTACCTGCACTATCTACACCTACTATATTATATCCCGATATCTGAAATATATTCAAGTCGCTAATCTTTGTTTCTGTAACAACCGCAATATCATAATCCTTAATATGAGAGTCAAACTCATGCTTCTTATTGCGAAGACCACGAGCGTTCCATAATAATATTTTAACCATCATAAGATCTATAATCGATATCTTTCAATTTTTGACTTCTATTTCTTCTGTCCCTGAGTCTTTGATCATACAATTCCTGACTATATGGCTTATATCTCTCACCGTAAAACCTATCATCATTATGCTCTACATTATCAAAACATTCCATCATATCTACATCGCTTATAGTATCCTTTAAATAATTTTGTTGAGCTAGATTCATTATATCTCTAACAATACTCCCTAACCTTTCAGATTCTACTTCTACTCTTTTTCTTTTATTTACCCTGTTTGCGTCATCTACTTCCTTCTCTACACCCCTTAACGCAATACCTCTTTTATCACGGTTGATCTCACCCTGTCTCACATTAAACCTACTGTAGTATTGGTTTTTATACAGATTACTATCTCGTCTATTGATGAAAGTACTAGGCGCATCCTGACTAGAAATACGTCTTTTATTGCTACCCTGTCCTGCTTCCGTTAATTTATTTGTACTTTTAACCTCCGTTTTCGTTTTAACCTGTGGACTTTGTTTCACCGCCTTAGCATATGAATTTATCTCCGGCCAATCCGATGGTTTAACAAATCTATCATATTCTTTTCCCGGATTATTCTCAATACCCTTCAATATTCTTTGAGCTTCGTAAAAAGTAGTATTATGTTGCGCCATCACCGTCTTGACTTCTCGATTCCATTGGAACACTGGGCATCCTCTATAGGTTGAACTATGAGATCCTTCACAGTTCACACAGCAATAATCAAAGTTGCATTCGACATGAGGTTCTTTTCCACATTTGCCACATCTTTCCATACTTTTGCAAAAAGCCTTAATGTGTCCAAACCTGTAACATCTAAAACATTGTTTAACTGCTTCTACATATGGTCTAACCTTTAAGTGTCCGAAACCTGCAAAAATGGGGATGTTTTCTGGAAGAGTGTTTTTTTTGAAAACAACGCTAATATTATCCGTGTCACTCTCTATTCTGACTTGTTTATCTTTATCAAACCGTTTTCTAGTCATTCTTTCCATTTGTACTATATTTTCTTTCTCAACTATCACTTCCCATAATTCAGTAATACTAAAGGGCCAATCCGATATCACCCCCTTGCATGTTATCGATCTGTTATCTATATATACCTGCACGTCATCTTTACATTCCCCGACTAGTTTATCCAAACAAATATTAGCTTCTTCCATGCTTTTAAACTTAAGTCTAGCTAAGTTAAACTGATCCATATCAACAATATCAGGGTAACATCTAATTTTATGTAAAAACATTTGTATTTTAATCTTATTCATACCCTTTTTATTGCAGACATTTTGACTAGTAAGTTTACAGCATACTACTTTCATACCTTCAAAATCATCTTCGAATCTAGGAACTGTATCAACTGCTTTACTTGCCTGTTCCTGTCCTTTGACTAACTTACCTTGTACGTTCACAAAAATCTTGTCTTTACGACTCTTTGGGTACTTATCTTTCGTCTCCGAATACGTATTCGATCGTACTTCCTCTGATTTATTTGCAATATTATCTCCTTCCTGACTTTCGTCAACAGCCATTTCATCCTTTTTATTTACCACGTTCGATCTGGATTGGTCATTTGCATTCGTCATCCGTTTCATCATCTCATTTTCCCTGATCTTCTTCTTAATCAATAGGTCCCTTTCATCGTCTTTGTCCCTAACATAACCTCCTTTTCCCGCCGACATCCTAATAATCGTCCCCCCTCCGAAGGGGGACTATATACTTGACTAATTCGTCCCAAATCAGACAAGAGGTACTCAAAGACCTCCTTCAACCTCCGAACCTTTCTCACCGCTACCTAAAAGTTCGCCAAAACTGAACGCTAAAAAACTCGCAAAAGCCCGCCAACGAAAACACGTCCGCCCGCTAGCACGGCCGCTATGCGACTAGACCACAATCACCACATCAAACAGGTTATGTTGTCCTCGTGATGTCTTCTTCCTTCATATGGCACTGTCTTTGTCATGTCGAGAAAGAGTGAGAAAGAGCATGGTGTAGAAAGAGACAGACGATACCGACATGGCGGTCGACCAATAAGAACACGCGGTTGTCGGCTTTCGCAAGAATCAAAGGTTTCGGACTTTTGCGCTACTCTTATAATCTAGAGCTCTAATCGTAAGCAGTCGCTCGTTTCCTCTCCTTTGACCCAATGGATTAAAAGGAGAGAAAACGAGCGACTGCTCACGATTGCTAGGCTAGCGGAGTATCGGCTGAACGCAGCCAATAGCGTTAGCGTTGGTAGCGCGGTAGCGAGCTCCCCGAACGCACCCTATGAATACCGGCCTAGGACTCTAGTTACACGTGGTTCTACTGTGTTTTATAGCGAATTCGGGCGCTTGCACTAGTGCACACTGAGTGCGCACCGTGCGCACTAAGGCTTGTTTATAATCTTTTCTTATATTTAAAGTCGCTTAAATACACGTTTAAAGATTTTTTGGCCAATAAAATAATCTGTAATATCTATATGGATAATGTACAAATCATTTTATAGACTAAGAAGTATTTAAGATGATTTATAAGTATAATAATTGATTAAGAACGAGCCTTAGTGCGCACTCAGTGTGCACTAGTGCAAGCGCCCGAATTCGCTATTATATCATGATATTTCCTATATCTATGGTAGTACTAAATGTACTGAGTATTTTTTTAGTAATTTTAAATACTCTTGATTATCATTGCAATTACGTAATAATAAACATGTGCTAATAATAGGAATCATGTTGATGCATGAAAATGTAAGTATAAAATTGCTGTTAGCTGAAAATGTGGGAAGATAAATGTTTTCTAGCTCGTTTGTAGGTTATAACTAGTCATGACTAGGTTAGGATATTTTTTGCATATATATACACTTTATTTTACATTTAGGTCGATTTTTAGGTCGATGGAAGTAAATATTAAGATTAAACTTAATCATGTTATTTATTATTCATCCATTAAGAAGCTGTCGGCATATATCATGCAGTTTTGTGCCGAAATTTTCTGTCCTTATGGTTCGTAGCATCCAGAAAATTTGTCGATTATTATTCTGTAATTTCCTAAGGAAAAAATTTTAATTCCAGTGTTCTGGCTTCTCAAGGCAAAAGTCAACAAAGACTGGGTGCATAGAAAAACCCACACAAACCTTCAAAGACGGTTATAATCAAGTTGGGGCAACAACAGTTCCTTTTGCCAAGAAAGATTTTGTATGTAAAATTGAGAAAGATCCACATAAAATAGAAAAGTCAGAATGGGCACCTATAATAGTTGATTATTCCAAGCTTCACAAGCACTATCTCAAATTGTCAAAGATTAAATTAACATGTATGTATTATATCAATTGTATAAGTTGGATTTGCATCAATTTAAAATATAGTTGATTATAATTTTTAAAAATAATAGATTTCTTAATTAAAATGCTTGATCAGAATATTTGATGCTTTACAAACTGATCCATAAATATTTGAATATTTAATTTATTAACCAGATTATAATTATTTTCTTATTGCAGCTCTAGTCGTAGTAACAACTATGGCTGGATATGCATTAGCTCCCGCACCGTTTGACTTTCACACATTTGTAATGTGTTCCTTAGGCACAGGCTTAGTTTCTGCCACTGCAAATACAATTAATCAATTTTTTGAAGTCCCTTTTGATGCGCAAATGTCGCGGACAAAAAATCGGGTATTGGTACGTGGTCATTTGACGTGAGTTCTTTTAAATCTCTTTATTTCGATATAATCAGATTTATAACTTAATATTAATAACAATTGAATATACATATGTATCATCAGGCCTATTCATGCAGTAACTTTTGCGGCAGTAACTGGCATTATTGGATTATCCATACTCTATCATGAAGTAAATGGTATCACGGCAGCGCTAGGTGCTACCAATCTTGTTTTATATACGCTCATATATACTCCCATGAAACGCATCAGTATTGTCAACACATGGATTGGCTCTGTTGGTGAGTATGTATATATATATATATATATATATATACACACATATACACAAACATATATATATATGTGTGTGTGTGTGTGTGTGTGTGTATATTAGTTGCTTTTTATTTACATCAAAACTCAGATAATTCTCACTTGAGTGTAAAGCGTCGTCTACAATAGCAGCAGGAGTATGCAGTAAGACGTAAGCAGTAAGCTACTGACCAACCACAGTCGATTATTCTTGAATTGTAAAAATCCCATTAGTCAATAACTTACTGCTTATGTCTTACTGTAGACTCCTGCTGCCATTGTAGACTACGCATAAATGGAAAGCAACAATTTTCATGTGTATCATGATAATGTGTATCATATTTTCATGTGTATCATGACCTGTGATATAACCTGTTATTTCCTTTACAGTAGGAGCTATCCCCCCCCTAATGGGTTGGGCAGGTTGCACAGGTAGCATATTGACACTAGGTGCTTGGATCTTGCCTGGTATTTTATATGCATGGCAATTTCCACACTTTAATGCTCTTTCGTGGAACCTAAGACCGGATTATTCACGTGCCGGCTATCGAATGATGGCTGTTACAAATCCAGATTTATGTCGTAGAACGACTATGAGATACACAGCGGTTCTAATGACTCTGTGTTACTTAGCTCCTGTATTGGATGTAACCCATTGGTGGTTTGCACTGGCTTCGACGCCAATCAATGCGTCTTTCCTGTATCTAGGTAAAATATGCATGTATATATTGAAAAAATTATATAAAATTTATGTGTATTTTACGTACATACATAGTATATTTAAATGTTAGAACCAAATTTTTACAGTGCGTTAAAAGTTAAAGATAATTTATCTAGTTAATTGTGTTCAAAAATGTTTTTTTAAAGTTGTAAAAGAAATTAACGATTGATCAAAATCATCATTATTGCTTTTATAACTCCTTGGATGAATTACTGCTTGAAACACGACTTGGTTACACAATTTAACATGCTGTATAAATTTGACCTGAATCTATTTGAATATCTCGCATATATGTTTACGCTCGAGATTTTTTTCTGTATTAAATATACATTTCCAATTTTAGCTTGGAAATTTAGTAAGCACTCGGATAGTGCTAATTCTAGGAGATTATTTCGATTTTCGTTACTTCATCTACCTCTGTTGATGATGCTGATATTCTCAAGTAAAAAGTACTGGGCCAGCACGGAAAAACAAGGAGATAAAATCGAATCTCCTCACAGCGAATCAGCAAAGAAGAATGATTTACTGACCATTTTTACTGCAACACCTATCGCTACAGCAGCTTCCTCTGTGTAGAGGTAGTTTTTATTCCGTTGAGCATGTCAGTGATAGTACAAATTCAATATCGTTATAAATTTCAAGTCTTAATGAGATTTTTACATTACCTCATTAGCTTTTCAAAATACGATATTGTAAAATAGACTGTAGATATAATCAATACTGGACTTGTCTGGTATTAATTTAATCAATAAACGAAAGTGACATCAGGACTCTCAAGAAATATTCAAACCAAAAACAAAGAGTAAAATATACATATTTATATACATCTAGTTTTATTTAAAATATTTTAATACAGAGCGTCATGTCATATTTTTAACTTCCTTACGCTTTGCCTCGAATTCTTTCGCCATCTGTCTTCTAGTTTTGGTTAGATTTCTGTGACCAGCACAGTCTAAATTTTCTATATAACACTTGTTCCTACAGCATTGTCGACACAATTTATATTCACATTTAAAACCCTACAATTTAAAATAACGCATTAGAACCTTCTCTTTCAAGTGTTTCGTTATCTTAAACATTGGTCATTTTTGGAAATATTTTTTAAAGAGCAAGATAAAATAAGAAAATTTTATATTTCGAAAGTATTTCAACTAACCAGAGGATTCGGACAGGCATGACATCGATCTGAACTTCTTTTAGGAATCGAAGTTGCTCTATTCGGTCTACGCGCTATCCGCTTAAGCTTTTTTGAACGTTTTCGCGATATTTCGTTTCCTTCCTCATCTCTGTATTCACGTTTCTGAGGTGCACCTTCCTGAAAATTATCATTATTTTCAGAGAAATTTCCTCAGTCATAATGTAACAGAAAGAAAACAGTATACGTAATTAATCATGTTTGACTCGTTTACCTGTAATTTTTGTGTATATTCTTGTGGTGGCTCTCGTACGTAAGGTTGACACAACCACGGTGGTAACTTCAAATTATAATCTAAAAATATCAAAAGATATTTAATGTAGGCGTAACAAATGTGAATAATATTCTGTATTCTCATCAAATTATTACCTATTCTCCCCGTTTGCCATATTAAATGTCCTTCATGATACGGTAGATAACGATCCCTCAAAGCATACGTGACACCTTTAAAGGCTTCCATAGTGGAGTTGGTAGCCAGACTTTCCCTTTCTCCTTGATTTTCTGCTAAACAAAGTCTACTCTCTAGTTAAAAGCATGCTGTATGCACGTTTGGGAATTACGCTTTGCTATTTGTAACTCGATATGATCAAAAGATCAATACATACACGTGATGGAAGAGTTTAAACAAGTGACCGCGGATGTACGAAGCTGGTACTGGATATTGCTCTACAAGTTCCAGGTATTCCAGAGCAGGCTCCCAACAGGCAGGATAACGAGACTCGAATATGTATGGATTGTAAAGATTCCCTTCCGCCGACATTACACCCTGCACTTGGATCTCCTCAATGCACCGCTGTAAGTCTTGCATACATTGTATGTTGCCATTGGCGATCACAGGAATTTTCACGGCATCCCTGATTAAACATAAAATAATGTATCAATTACTAAGAATAAGAGGTACAAAATATAAAGATTTGATCTGTAATCTCTTCTCATGATTATACAATGAATGTTTCGAGTAAAATGAAAAATAGATACGAATAATCACCTTACGGCTTTAATGTGCTTCCAAGACGCTAATCCAGTCAATGGACCTTTTTGCTCTCTCGTACGTCCATGGACAGTGAGTAAGCTAGCACCTGCGTTCTCTAGCATACAAGCATATTCTACAGTACGACTGATTTCTGGGAACACCCGTAGTTTACAAGTGACAGGTATGTGTAATCCATTCTTTAAAGTCGACACTGCACAGATACAAGATTTATTACATCATATTGTTATCACAGTCTAAAGCTTTTGACGTATAAGTAAAATGCATGCGTACCGATTTTCTTTAACAAATTCCAGTCATCCTGCAAGAAAGCTCCGTAATGTCCACGCTTTGCAATTGCCTGAGGACAACCGATATTGATGTCGATTGCATTGCAGTACGGTTCAGCCAAGCGTGCAGCTTCCAATAATATATCCGGATCATTGCCACAAAACTGGAAAACGAATTACTATTGCACAAAAGTTAAACGTGTTAAACGTTCTTCCCTTTGTTCTGTTCCCCATTTAAAATATTTACTTGTAAGAAACAGTTCGTGTGAAAGATTATTTAAAATATCTATTAAATCTTCAATTGAGCACGTTATTTCAATCACACGGTTACTCGGTCGTATACATGAAGTTTTGAGGAACTCCAAGTACGTCCTTTACACTTTTAAATTTTGTTCTTTTGTTAAATGTTCCTTTGTAGTCCCGGCTGTTCCGGAAAACTCCATATGTGCCTAGTTGAGAACTAATCTAACAGTCTACAAAATTGCAGTCCGGTGGTTGTAGCAAGCAGACCTGTACAATCAGTGGACGATCCTCGCTGGTACTAGCGAGAGCCTCTCGCCTGTACTTGGGATCCCGACAGAACACGGAGGAGTGCAGCATTGGCGTGTAACAGAGCTGTGCGCCGTGTCGCCTGCTGAGCAGTCTCCATGCCAATTCGCTCGCGTCCACCATCGGCGCGACTATGTAGCGCGGTGAACCCAAATCTTCCCAAACGTTAGTCCTCCTCTTCGATGCAGCATCCTCCTTGTCAGGTGACTCCGTAGTCTCGGACATTATCTGTGCGCATGAAGGTCGCATGAGTGTGATGCTATTCACTTGCGATTATGCAAGGTCTTATGTGCTCGCAAGCTAAGTTATTCATTTAGCTCTTTTCCCAGAGTGTGTAAAGAAATCTGCGAGGAAACTTGTCGCATGCCACGGTGCAATAATGTAACTTCAGTAAACATTACGAATCCAGTAAATTGACACCAATTGCGCCATATCCATAAACTGGCGTCGCACGACTTGAAACCATTGCTATATAATCGCGTCGCGCAACTCGGTACCAGGATTGGCCGATCGTTAAAGTGACCAATTTTTATAAAGCCGAACTTTTGTTTTTACGTTAAACGTAGTTGACATTTTTTACAAATAATCCGTTTTTCTCGTTCGCTAAATAAAGCATTTATTATTGATACATATTGCCAATTATAGGACGTTCTGAGATGTTTTCATTATGTAAAATTATAAAAATTTTAGACAAATTTTGGGTCGATGTTCAACGATATTCAACGAAAATTTAATCATTTGCTCTATTTAAAAATGCTTTATTTAAATTTTTAAGTGATGACATCGTATATATGAGTCTGTCTACAAGAAGAAATCTTTTATTTCAAGCGCATTGTGTTGCATTCAAATTAAAAACATTTACTTTTACATATTTATTACAAGTTTTATCAGTAAAATTATTATTTTTTTTATTTTTTTTTTTTTAAGCAGACTCATATATCGAGTGCATCCGACATGAGAGAATTCTACCCAATTCGATTTTGGGCTTTATATTTCTAAAAAAAACAGCATTTCATGCGGTGCTGATAACGTTACTCGTGTAATGGTGGGAAGGAGAAGATGGAGTTCGATCGCGACGGCGATCTCGGCGTAGCTGGTTTCGAAAACTCCGACTCCGGTATGGGAGACAGTTGAGCGGTTTGCGTGACGACATGCGAGCCGACCTTGAAGCGCGGTCTCTTCTTCGAGAAGCTCGCCGCGCTTCGTCGCGTGCGGAGGTGGACTTGGTTTCGCTTAGGTATCGTGGGGGACGGCATCTGTCCTAGGACGGAAATGTCAGCGGTACTCGAGGATACTTTTCTAACTTTGCGAGCGGTGCGCGAGAGATCTAGAGCGGGTAGCCTCGACGGTGGACGCGGGTAAATCGGTTGCGTTGTCAGTTCAGTCGTCATCGCCTCGATAGCCCGATTCTGATCCTCGGTCAAGCCAGGCACGACGTCCGGAGGGCTGCCCGTCTGCGGAATTATCTTGTTGCCGCAATGACGAGCAATCGTCGACGACGAGGTCGTTAACCGCTGTCTCGAACTTTTCCTCAGGCGAGCCTGAAGAAAAGTCTGTATTCTCCTCATCGTTCCGCAGGAGCGTTTCGTGGGCTCAGCACGATGTTCACCGGTGCGACGCTTTCGCCCGCTTCCGTCGCGCCTGCTGCCGTCGGGATGGTTCATGATAGAGAAGCAACAAGATACCGGCGAGGGCGTGGAGGACGACTTCGCATCCGGCGATTCTCCATGGTTTCTCAACTCCACTGCGTCCGTCGTCTGCGAAGAGGAGACCTCAATGGAGGTCTCGGTGGTGCGCGAATCGTACGAGAAACAAAGATGAAAATTCCGGCTACCTTTCATCGAGGGTAACGTCTTCGAAGCGGCATCTTTGCCGTTCGCCGTTGCATCACCGCTGTGTGTCGAGCAAACGTACACGTCTGTCGTCGCCATCGTCATTCTCGTGCTCGTACCACTTTTGAGCAGAGGACCCTTGTTCTCGCAGAAGCGCGAATAGAGGCCTCGCGCGCCAGGTGCCATCCGGTCGACATCCTCTCCATCGGTGCAATAAGGCATGTCACATAGACCAGCGGTGGACGTAGCTCTAGAGTTGGCAGCGGCGCCGGCGACGCCTCGCTCCCGCTTACCGCGCACGTACTCATACGTGGTGAGGCCGAGGCAGGCGATGTAGCCGTGAAAGAAGCAGAGGTGAATGAGCAGGACCGCTGCGATCGCCGAGAGAACGCCGATGACGGTGACGAGGACGAGCGAGCTGGTGCCGGGCACCGGCAACAACGGCGGCGTCGCTGTAGCGTTGTTCATACTCGGCTCGTTGCCGTTGTCACCGCTGCTGTCCCACGGTCCGTCGTAGACGAGCAGGTGTGCGTTAACGAGCACCAGCTCACCCAGAGCAAGCGCGGTGACCGCGAGCGCGACGACGAGCGTCGACACCAGGCACACCAGGAATGCCGGATAGTTACGGCCGCCGATGCAATTGTTCAGCCACTTGCAGTGGTGGTCGAAGCGCGGCACGCACTTGTTGCAGATAGAGCAGTGCTTGGTGCGCCGACCACGCGTCGTTATGTTGCAGAGATGACATCGGCCGTTCTCGATGACGTGCCGATGCTTCGCTCGGTCGAACTCCGGCACGACCGCGCGTGCCGGCCGGGCGCGTACCTCCGGATCAGCTGGGTCCAGCAGCAGCACCGTTAAGTGGGTCAGCACGTGCAGTAGGAACAACGTGGCGAACAGCAGAGAGAGGACGAAGCGCAGATCGGGCAGTAGCGGCGGCGTCGTCAGCAGCACGGTGAACGTGCCGACGAAGACGACGATCAGCAGCGCCCAGCCGACGATCTGCTGCGGATGCAGCGGCAGCTGCAGGCCGTGAACGCGTCGGAATTTTCGGTGCTCCGGTGGCACGTGCTGCGCGTCCCGCGAGGAACAGCACCGGACAATCGCACACTTCGCACAGCTCTCGTTTAGCATTCCCGGTCTCGCTCTTCCTTAGCGGTTTTTATTTCAGATACATGTTTCTAGCGCGCCCTTGATATCGATCGATCGTTTAACGTCACATAGCTATCGTCCTCGCCCTCGTTTTCATTCTATGTCTCTTTACGGTGTGTTCTCTTTTTCCCATGTCTTGTTATCGCTGTGTTATGTTTCTTCAATATCAATTACTCAACGTATAATTTTTCCTATTAAATATTATTTAATTAACGACGAATATAATTGAAGAAAGTGTGCGGTTTCAATTAAAACTCGCTTATACTACATTTAAGGTAGAGATTAATATGCCAAAATTCTTTATGTATTATAGTATAAAAAGAAAATCATGTTTTTCAAATTCTACCCACTTTTGCGTTCCTTCGTTATTAACGGTAAACTTGAATATGACTCTTCAAATTGAGTTCAGCTTTTTTCCCTTTTACGCCTTTGTAATTTGTTTCATTTTTGTTTTACTTCGCGATCATCTTAAAAACATGATGAGATCCTCTCATCATTGCTGGATTCTTTCTGAAAAGGCATTTCAATTCAGCCTCCCTCTCCCTTATCTTGTACAAATTTCCAGTTTATTCTTTCACACCCACGTTCGCTCCTCGACAAACGTCAATAATCCTCGAGCGTCTCTAACTCGCATATAGATGACCGTGTAAAGTTTCCAAGTCCTTTCCGCTTCAGAGGAAATCACCGCGAATGGTTGCCATTAGACTACCGCGCAACAAAACGTTCTCCTTTGGATTAATGGCGCGATCCCATCGAGGTCTTTCCTCTTCTCGCGTTCCATCACGCAACCCGCTCGCAGGAACGATCTCGAACGGATCGCTCCTCGCGAACCGAGGAATCTCCCGCTGTCCAACCCCCACGACTCGGTACAACTGCCGTAACTGGCCGTAACTGGCGGGCCTGGCGGCCGCAAACTGGCCAGCCGGCAACGCCTAGGCAAATCGATAAGTCGCGGTTGCCGCGGAGACCGGTCCAGGCCTCGCGGACTTGCTCTTCGCGAGGGAGGTGTCGCGCACGCATGCAACGAAACGACACACGGGCACGCGCATAACCTCATCGCGAATCGCGATCGCGCGAAATTCGCACGAGAGATAACGAGCGAAAATCGACGATTTATTCGCCGAATGCGACACGTTCGCCAATTTTGGAGCATTATTTTTTGGTACGACACGGGACCTTATGCCGCGCTCATTTCATCATACGCGATTCTTCGAACGATAAGTCGATTGACGGAGCTACGGTCATGGGGGATTGTCATGAAGATTGCCGTGATTACTGTGTCAAATACAATTGTCAGAAACTGCCGCAACTGTTTTACGCGAAATTATAGTAAAACGCTTGTAATCTTGGCTACGCGATTAAACGTAAACCAAATGTAACACGCGCACATGCGAATAGAAACGAAATACTAACCTCACTTTGTGTAATTCGATGTTTTCAAGCGGCCGATAGAACGCACCCACGTGGATCCACCACCATCTCTCGAACTTGAAATCGATCGCTTTCAAGTTGACATTATATTACACGTCATTCGTAATTTTTTCCTATATTTCATGCATTTGACTTATCAAAAAAATATTGAAAAATACTTAAACGTCGACGAAAGGAGAGACAGACAGACATCTGAAAATAGTCATTACTCCGATCTGGGAGTACGTTCAGATTCCTCAATCCTCATCCGAATGGAAAATAGAATGCTGAAAATCTATAGTACACGTAACATATGCTATAGGATTTTTAACACTCGGGTGGGGAATCCGAACACAGCCTTTCTGTCAGGATCATGCAGTCCCACGTAGAGAAAAAAGCGGAACGGAAAGCAAGCACAACAGTTCCCAAAAAAGATAGAATGGGCGAGTTCAGGGGTCGATTGTATCTTGGGACCATGCTTGGGACGAGGTAAAAATTACAAATGTGAGGAAATTTACTAGAGAATCTACAATTTCATTTGTCGAAATCTAGTAAATCTGTTCACTTTTGTAATTTTCACCTCGTCTCAAAATACAGAATCGACCTCCAGCAGACCAAGCTGCTGTAACAGTCAAACGTGATTAGTTCTTACGTTTAGAACCAACCAATCAACGCAGAGTGTTGATAAGACGAACTCAACAGTTGTGTCTGCTGAACGCGGCCATTGGCTGCAATGGTAGCGAAAGGTAGCAATTAAGTGTAATTGGTTGGATCCAAAGGTAAGAACCAATCACATTCAGTTGCTACTTTTCAGGGCCGGTCTCACAGTCTCCGATTAACGTGATTCTCCGATACTCACTCTGCATTTCTTTCTAACTATCCCCCTAGAAAGAGACGAAGAGTGAGTTTAATCGGAGAATCTAGGGAGAATCACGTTAATCGGAGACTGTGAGACCGGCCCTCACTTCGCTAAGCAGAGGTTCGGCTGAACGCAGCCAACATTTGTGTCGACTAGAGTCCCTTGAATACAGAGTCTGGCCAATAGGCCCCTCAAAATGGCGTACATACTATACTCAATACATATAAGAGTGATTAAGAGTGGTTCTTGCTGTGCATGGAGTGTTCCGTACTGTCTGAATTTTTCTGATTGTACAAAGGTAAATAAATAGTGTATATACATATAAAGTTTATTTAATTTTTTGAATATACCATAAGTGAAATTGTTTGGAATAACAGAATTTTTTAAACAAGTTGAAAACATAAATTATATGTTTTCTAATCTTAATAATATGATTATGATATAATTTATTATGGAAATATTATAGAGAACTAATTTGTATAGGTTACAAGATGCCTTATTGCTGCGTAACAAAATGTTCCAATTCTTGGAAAAAAGGTTATTCCTTACATCGCATCCCAAGAAATACAAAAAGAAGAGAACAATGGATTCAAAACATTGGTCGACATGATTTGAATGCATTAAAAGACTGTTTTGTATGTGAGGTAAAATGCATTTTTCTGTAATTCAAGTTATTTACATTTTGCAATTACATTACTTATGTTTATTATATTTAATAGGAACATTTTTTACCCGAAATGTGGGAAAAAGTACGTGTTGATGACAAGAAAAAGCTGAAAAGTTGTGCAGTTCCAACTATTTTTATGCAGAAAGAAATTGTTTCTGCTACATCAAATGTAAGTGAAATATAGTATGCAATAACACTTAAAAATATGCGTGGTTGTAAGTTGTGTCCTTAGATTTAAGCCTCGTCTACAATGAGTCGTAGTCTTAAGATCGTAAGCAAATCGATCAACCACAATCAAATTTTCTTATACATTCTTGATTGTGGTTGGTCGATTTCCTGTACGACCTTACGATTTATACCTATATGACTCATTGTAGACGGACCATTAGTTTACAATAAGATTGTTTATATATTTCAGACTGAAATTGATATTACGGAAAATAATAAAGTGGACAATGAAAAATGTTTGTCTGATGATTTGATAGAGGAAGACGTATTTAAGGAAACAGAAGCAGCTATAAATAATACAGAAATAGAGCCAATTAATACATCGCCAGTGTCAACGCCAATTTCAGACTCAATGATATGTGTGCCATTTCAAATTGGTAATTTTGAGAAAAACTTTGAAGAAGCAGAATTAAAAGTTCAAAAAGCATTATTAGATGCTACACAGGCCAAATTACGACAAGTGGAAACAAAATTTCAGCAAGCAAATATGATACTAAGTAAATCAGAAAAGTCGCGGATAATAATGAAAAAAAGAATAAAAAAACTTATGTATGAAAGAAGAAAATTATTAGAAGAGAATAGTAATTTAAAGGCTAGATACAAAAGAATATTTAACGACGACCAAGTTGCAGCTCTCTGCAAGAAATCCATGCGCGGTAAAAAATGGTGTTCTGCTACTATCAAAAAAGCTATTCGCTTAAGATTATCTTGCGGTAATAATGGTTATAAAGAATTACGGAATCAGGATATTCCTTTACCAGCAGAGCGTACTCTTCGAAGAAAAATTGAGAACATAGACTTTGAACCCGGTATTTGTAATCAAACGTTTGACATATTACGTAACCACATTTTAAATTTTACTGATGATTGAGAGAAAGATTGCATGCTCGCTATTGACGAGATGAGCATTACTGCAGGACAACAATTTAAGTTGATATAGCAACAAATTCACATTTTGGTTTATCGACGTTGCCAGATAGATCAGGTTAATAATTTCTAATACATTTGTAATTTATATTTTTAATACTAATATTTGTATATATAATACAATTTTTTATTACATTTAGTATAATTACTTTTGCATAATTAAATATTTTTTTTACAAAAATATCATTGTCTAATAAATACCGAATATTTATAAGTGATACGGATAATAATAAATCACTATAATATAAGAATTCATTTACATTAATAAGAATAATGTTATTTAGCTAACTAAACAGATTGTTCAATTTTTCTATAGGATTATTTTTTGTGGAACAGAAAAAATGTTTATTTGTGCATGTTTTGTAATGTATTATGGAACATCATCTAATATACATATAGATCTAATATACATATTAATATATATATATTAAAAATTTTTTTAACAGATATACTCCCCTATTGCATTTAGTATAAAGTTCCAAGATACATTACAAAATGTGAGCATAAACTGTTGTTACTATACATCAGGATATGCAATAAAATTGTTTCTTTTCTTGGTTTATAATAATTTCTTTGTCTGGTTCTCTTTTTTATGAATATGTTCTAGGCCAAATTAAAGAAGCTACTCACAGTTTAGTTTTTATGCTTGAAGGAATTTTTACACGTTGGAAAATGGTTATAGCTTATTTCCTTACACCAGATAGTATTGATGGTGCTATTTTGAAACCTGTTATACAAGAGATTATTGAAAAAGCAGAATCTATTGGTCTATACGTTCATAGCGTAACTTCTGATATGGGTCCTGTTAATCTAAGTATGTGGAGAGCATTTGGTGCTATTGGCAGCAACAGATCCGAAGTCAGAAATTACATACCTCATCCTGTTAACAGTAATCGAAAACTTTTTTTTATTGCTGATGCTCCACACTTACTAAAAAACTTAAAGTCTACTTTATTAAATAATAAAGTCATTGAATTGCCCAAAACATTTGTTGATATGCATAACTTATCAACAGCTGTTGTCGAATGTGCACACTTAGATGAATTAGTAGATATTCAAGAAAATTTTCAACTCAAATTAATTCCTAAAATAAAAAAAAAAGACATTTCCTGCACCACATTTAATAAAATGAAAGTAAATAAAGCAAAAAATATAATTAGTAGAGATGTTAGCAGCGCAATGAAATTTTATGCTGAAGAAACAAATAAAAAAGAATTCAATACGACATCACTTTTTATTGAATGTATGTCTAAATGGTTCACTTTAGTAACTGCAAGGACGCCAAAACTTGCGTTAGGCAAACAAGCGGGTGATGAAAAGAAAGAAAAAAAATTCAATGACTCTATAGCATTTCTAGAATCTATTGTAGAATTATTTAGAGAAGTAAAAATTGGTCATCAACCAAAATTTAAGCCTGTGCAAAATGGTTTTATGACTACCACAAAGTCTATTATTGAGTTGACGAAGTATCTAATACATGAACGCGGATTTTTGTACGTACTTACTGGTCGATTGACACAGGATTGTGTTGAAAATCTTTTTTCTGCGATAAGAGTAAGACATCCAATTCCAAACGCATTACAGTTCAAGCAGAATTTAAAACTTCTTACAATATCAAAATATATGAAATCATTACATACTTCAAATTATGATGAAGATGATGGTGATATGATTGGCGATTTTCTAGATAATTCTACAACAATTAAACAATCTAAACAATGTGAAGAAGTAATTTTTATTAAGCCTAACAACAATATTCATCTCGACAATATTGAAATGAATTTATTATACAATATAGCAGGTTACATTATCACAAGTATTGTTAAATGCACAAAAACATGTTCTCAATGTTTAGATTCTACAGGATCAAAAAGTTATTTTAATAAAAAATATACAAAATTAGTTCTCTTGAAATGCTTCCGTAAAAACACGCTCTTTTTCGTCAATGAGGAAACGTTTGATTATTTTCTCAAGATGGAAATAATTATTCGATCATACATGTCAGATTTAAAAAAAACAAACTGCATTTTTTTAGTTTTTATTTAGATAAAATGAATGATATTCATTGTGACACAATAAAAGATTGCCATAATTTAAAATTAAAAATAATGAAACGTTTTATATTATATAGAATGCGTATATCGTGTGTAAAATCCAACTTAAAAAAGAAAAATTATAGTAGCAAAACCATGGCAATGCATACTTTCATTCATTAAAAATTATGTATGTTATACTTTATTACATATATATAAGAATAATGTATGTTGTACTTTTATATTGTATTCTATTATGTATATATATTCTATGTATTTATATATATATATATATATATATATACAAAAATACATTTTTTGATATTTAATGGCAATAAAAGTGTTTTTCTGATTTATTATTTTACATTTATTAATACACAATTTTTCTTTATTTCAAAAATTCCGCCATTTTCGCTATTTTGAGGGGCTTGTAAAACTGAACCAATAGAAAGAAGTCTACGGAATGGCCAGGACCCCTATTCTGTAACTTGTAACGACAGTGTCGGTATCGTTACGTTGTCGTTGCGCAGGTATACTATATGGAAAAAAAGCTGCGCAACGACGACATAACGATACCGACACTGTCGTTAGAGTTACAGAATAGGGGTCCAGACTCTGTATTCAAGGGACTCTAGTGTCGACTTGTGTCGCTTGCTGGAAAGCTCCCTTTATTAATCTAGTGAGGTTAGGGAATCGCATCGTTGCGAGCGCGAGCCAAATCTCTCGCATGGGACGTCGTGGGACGTCCCTCGAATCAAGTCCTCGAATCGAATCCTTGAGCCGGACTCGAGAATGAGATATCAACCTCGTACATACATGAATCACTCCATCACTCCGTGGTTCGTGCGTGTATTTGCGATTACATGTGTAGAGTGTAGACTCGTGGTAAAATCTGGCGGCGAGCCTTTTACTGCTTTACGCGTTTTGTAAAAAAAAAAAAGTTAAGCAAACACGAGGGGATTATCGTACGACATATCTCCAGGTGCGAGGTAAGTCCTCTCGAAACACGCGCTTCCCGATTCTCGGCGCACGTCTGCTCTGCGTGCCCACGGAGCTTATGTCATTCGAATTCTCGTACAGCTTCGCCCACGGATTGAGGCACCTCGACAGATTTAACGTCCTTAACTCGTTTAGAGGCATCCGATGTGAATTTGATCTACCTAGAATGGCTGGGGTATTCGACATTGAACTGCATGACGGAGATGCCGCGAATCAGGACGAGTCGGATGACGACGTGATCGAGAACAGAGAGGTAGAGTGTATTCGCCTAATGTGATGTGAGTTACACTTGTAACAGCAAGATTTTAACTAAATCTCGTATTCATTCTTAGGAGGAATATAATCATGCCGCAACTGTAAGCGCTATACTAGAGTAAGCATTTTGGTTGCCCTTGATTTCAGAATAATTCCCCCATTTTGCTTGTCAATTGTTAAAGAGTAGGAATATCGGATTACTTTTTAGATCGGAGAACTTAGAGAGGGTTCAGTTGTCCGAGCAAAATGTGAATCCGGGTCAAGAGAAGGCTGGTCCACAAGACTTCGAGTTGTGCAAGATTTTAGGAGAGGGTGGTTACGGAAAGGTCTTCCAAGTCAGAAAGGTCACAGGGAAGGATAAAGGCAGCATCTTTGCTATGAAAGTACTGCGCAAAGCGTCCATTATACGAAATCAAAAAGATACCGCTCATACCAAAGCAGAGAGGAATATCCTGGAGGCTGTAAAACATCCATTTATTGTAAACCTCATGTATGCGTTCCAAACTGGTGGCAAATTGTATCTGATCTTGGAGTATCTGTGCGGTGGAGAGCTTTTCACATACCTCGATCGAGAAGGTATCTTCCTAGAGGACACTGCTTGCTTTTATCTGTCAGAAATTATACTGGCGCTGCAACATCTTCACAATCAAGGAATTATATATAGAGACTTGAAGCCAGAGAATATCTTGTTGGATGCTGAGGGTCACGTCAAGTTAACGGATTTCGGTCTTTGCAAAGAACATATACAAGAGGGTACAGTGACGCATACGTTCTGTGGAACGATAGAATACATGGCTCCAGAGATTCTAACTAGGAGCGGACACGGTAAAGCTGTGGATTGGTGGAGTTTAGGCGCTTTGATGTTTGATATGCTTACAGGGATGCCGCCATTTACCGGTGACGACAGAAGGAAAACTATCGAAAAGATTTTGCGGGGAAAGCTGAGTCTTCCACAATATCTGACGCCAGACGCTCGGGATCTCATTCGAAAACTCTTGAAGAGGCATGTCGTTCAGAGATTGGGCTCTGGTCCGGAGGACGCCGAGCAAATTAAGAATCACAATTTCTTCAAACACATTAATTGGCAGGACGTAATTGCCCGGAAGTTGGATCCGCCGTTTAAGCCATCTCTGAAGAGCGCCGACGATACATCACAATTCGACGAACAATTTACGGCAACCGTGCCGGTTGATTCACCGGTCGAGAGTACTCTCAGTGAATCTGCGAACATGATATTTCAGGGTTTCACGTATGTGGCGCCGAGCGTTCTGGAGGAGATGTACGCACAGCCAAGAGTCGTGAACGCTAGAAGTCCACGTAGGGGATTGTTGAGCAACACGGGTTTTGGCGCAGCTGCAAGTCTACATGGCTTCTCTTCACCCAGAACAATGGATGTTCATTTGCGCCCATCATTAGACCTCCAACAACAACAGCAGCACAGGCAACATATGATGGGACCCAACAGCATAGAGGACACCGAAATGGTCGATCTTGGCCAGCTACCAAACCGTTTATAGTGCCGCGACCTATTGCGCGCAAACTACTAGCTTTTTGATGCAAACTAGGGAACGAAAGGAACATAGCCCAATAAATCTGTTTGTTCGCCGAATCGTTTCTTTACATTCGTGTGCGATGATGAACAGATATATTTAGCAAATTTAATATTATGTATAATATTATGCAAAAAGTAAGCACAGTGAGTTTGGTCAGCCTCTTTGACATCGCATATTACCTGCATCTGTACGCAATTTTTTTTCTTTTAGAACTAGCGATCTCAAGACGGCCAAGCGTTTGTTTGCAATGCGAGGGAGCGAATAGTGTATATCTTTTCGCATAGTGTATGTAAATACGTGCGGATAATTGAAAGCAAGTACATTCTTAACAAAACATTTACGAGCAGAATGCAGTTCAAATCTGAAGATTATATCGCAATAATAATAATACAGATATCGCAATCATATCGCTGATTGTAACGTAGTTGACTAGCATTAGATTGTTTCTAACAGTACACATTGATTCATACGAAGTGATGAATGCTTTAGGGAGACATTAGAGTCGAGAGAGAATGTTACAAACCAATTTTTTTTCTTTTTTCTTGTTTCAGAATCGCACGATGGTTTTTAGATCATAGCGATGATCAGAAAATACTTTACTGTAATAGTTTTTCGTTTCTAGTGCTTTGGAAGATTGCGACTGGTTTATTTCAAGTAAAACACTGAATTATATATATATATATATATATATATATATTTCATTTCGGGTGAATACGTACGGATTAAAATAATTTGTTGAACTCTTGAGGAAGAGGAGATTTCTTTTCTTTTGTTATCGAAGTACATACGTACGTAAGAAACGCGCTCTATTTCTAATTCTCGATTCTCATAAAAACAATTCTACATTCCGGTATTTTGGATTCGCAATATTGTATGAGATGGAACATCAGAAATTAAATGCAAGTAAAAATGAGTACCGAGTAGGTCCACGATCGTCTTGTTCTGTCATTAGTATTAAACGTAATTGATTCTATTAAATATATAGTTTATTAACTATATTTATATGTAAAAAAAGTCTGTCCCGATAGAATCGGAAAGGAAAACGAAAATTCTTCATTATACCATATACATAAGAGTAAAGTCAGTCCTAACGATTCTATTTAGCACAACAGTACGTTGCCATTTTAAGGAATGGCATTTCTCTGATATAATTAATTACGATTGCTATTTAGTATAAAAAAAGTGAAATATTTCAATCGTATGATAAATGTATTTTCTTTTTAACTATACAGTATATGTATGTATGTATGTATGTGTATATTTATGTACACATGTACATATAGTATATACATAACGTATATAAACAGATGAGTTTTTTAAATTGAGACACTTAAATATCTCAAAATCAACGCATTTTTGAAAAACATCAAATTATTCCCTCCTCAAGACTAACTTTTATCTAAAACATTTTTTTAT